TCTTCCATCCTCCCTCGCTCTTTTTATTTTCTTTCTTCTTTTTTCTCTGCCCTCCTCTTCTCTTCCTTTATCTTTCATTCCTCTCTCTCTCTCTCTCGATCAGAATCCATCTAACCGATTCTCTTCTCGATCGACTTAAAATGGACTCTCACGCGAGACGAGATCGGGGTCCCTTCTTTTATTATACGTTCGCCAAACCCCCAGCCTATCCCCCACCTTTCGACGAGGGAAAAAAAAGAAAAGGACTAAGGATAAAAGAGAGGAGCTAGGAATTACGACCTTGAGACGACAAAACGGATAGTACGAATACTTTTTCTATTTCTTTTTCTCCCTTTTATAACATATATATAGCTAGATAGATGTAGCCCTGTTTCTTAATTATTTTTTCTTTATTCTTGGGTCGCCATCTTGAAAAACTTGTCTGTTTTTCTTTTTTTTTCTAAGTATTTTGGTATCTTTGAGGTTATAACTGAGGTATGTATTATTCGTTGGAATGATTTCTTTTTCTATGATCCTATCGTAGAATTGAATGTTCCCACGATTTCTTCTGGGAAAATAATGGAAAATCGTTATGAATAGGTTTGGGGGACGAGGCTTTTCTTGCATCAGGTCGCATTCGCGGTCGACAGACGGGATCCATCCGTCGTTGTTGTATAGCACACGAATGTATTTCGTAAGCACACGCTAAGGTGTATCATCCTCCAGCTGGTAAACAGCTGCCCACATCCTGTCTTGTATACAATACTCGTCCTTTCTCTTTACCGAAGCCCTCATCGTTGTGTTGAGTCTTGTTCCTTGTACTTAAAGATCGGACCGAGCAAGATGGTGGACAGGTGTATCGACCAGACATACTGAAACTTCTTGATAGTCGAATAAGTATTAAGTTTGCCACGCGACCACCATACCGTTTTCTTTCCTTCATTAAAAAAATCCATTTAAGGAAATACTTGTTATTCTTTTTGTTATTTCCCCCCCCCCCTCGAGATACCAAGAATTAGCTCAGCAATTAAATATTAGTGCTTATTTATCATTAACCTTTCAAGCACATAACAACTTTTCAAATGTGTTATCATTAATTCAATATTCATTCGATTTGGTGTTAAATTTGACTATTAAACCGTTTAGAATGATTTTTATTGGATAATTTTGATGGTCGTTGGTTGAGTAACGTACCGTTATCTTAACAGATCGATTTTAAACCCGCTTGAGAAAAACAAAAAAAAGGGAGAACAAGTCGAACTAATAGGTTGTCCGGCACGATTTACTTCGAAGCTCCCTGGGCAGTTAGCAAGTTGCACCTGCATATGACGCGTGCTACCAAGGTGAAACGCATCTGTCCCACGTGCTCGCGATTACTTTTTCTTTTATTATTAACTTTTATTTTTATCGAAAAGAGAGCCAAGATGACAGGATAGCAATGTTTGGTTTTTCTTTAATTTTACACAATTATAGGGGTCCATCGGGACAATAAAGGATGTATGCAGTATGAGACCCAATGCTCCTTCATTTTTTTTTTTTTTTTTTTTGAAAACTTTCACGCGCATTTTTATATACTAGTTGGTGGTTTTACTAAACCAACCTTAACGCTCCGACGCATCATGACTAGAATTAGTCTTCCTTGCTCAAACATCCGAGACATAAAACTTACGACTGACCGGTCGTGATCACCAGTCAAATGCTCACAGGTAGAAAAAGCAATGCTTCTTATGCGGATTATTCCGCGCAATTATGCAAATGGGTTAAGGGTTAACATCTGTTTTTTAATTCATCTTGATACCATTTCTGTTAATAAAATAAAGAAAGGATAAATATATTTATATATATATATATAAAAGAAATAATGAAATAATTGTATGCAAAAAGCAAAAGAAATATTGATGATCGGGCAGCTTTAGTAATGCGAAAAAGTGGCAATCGGTGTTCTGGTGCAGGTGGTTTTCTTCCATGCAGGTGTAACGTCTGAAACGGCACGTGCATTCGTCCCCGTGCTTCTTCTATGTGTCATCCTGCCTCCTCTTACTCCTATATACTTTTACCTTCTTTTCCTTTCAATATTAATTACGCTTAATTATTGCAAAAGTATACACCTATGTACAAATGTAATACGTAAGTTTGCTTTTTGTCCAATGTCTATAGAAAAAGAAAAAAAGAAAAAAAGAAAAAAAGAATTATCACGTGTTCAGATCACACGTGTTAGAAGTAAAATGGCATCGATTATTATTTACAATTGGATTTTTAACAAAAGTTTAATAAGACTACGACGAAGAAATTCGTCAATGATCAATGAGCATTGACTGAACTTTTCTAAGACTCGTAAATTGAAATAAGAAACAAATACTTATGTCTTCTATCTCATTCTCTCATAGGCTAAATCCTATAGATGCGTATAGATTTGGTTTTCGTTATCATGGAGTTTCGTTCGCTTTTTTCAAATCACCCCCATTCTAAAGAAGTTTTCACTTGAAAAAAGAAAAAAAAAAGATCTAGCGTAAGACTAACCCCAACCGCAAGAACAAGAGCGTTAACACACACGGTAGGAAGAAAAATCAGAAACCAGAAACGTAACTGCACAACCAACAGCAGCAACGGCTCAAGCTGCCTGATGAACGCGTGGGCGTAAAACGTGGGGCGACTAGAGTGCAATGTGGGTCACTAGGAAATTGTTAGTCGACTGTCGTTCTTACTGACTTCCTGTGTTGCTACGCGCTCTAACACACACCACGTACACGCCACGTACACGCCACGTACACGCCGTGTATACACAGAAACAAAGAAACATTTTCCAATGCAGCAGGCACCTTTGTTCGATTCTATTGTAAGAGATGTATGTAGCATTAGATACATCCTTAAGCCATGTATTGCAAGCAACAACCCAACTACAATAATATGCTCTCACTTTTCTCCATTTTCTTTTAATATATTCATACTATTTATGTGTAGTGTTTAGTGTCTATTATTTCATTGTCAATAATAGAACCTACCTTTCGTCTATTTTTTCCTCTATTTTTTCCTCTATTTTATGTATTTAGAATTATTAGAATTATTTTAAATGAACATTTTCTAACAAAGCCAACACGTGGCCAAATTATCCTAGTGTATATATATATATGTATATATATGATGTTTAAATATCATCGTATAATAACGAAAGACAATTTTCATCTGTAGAAGGTAAATTCTCATGGGTATAGAAAAAGATCCAAGAAGAGAAAGTCAGAGTCGTAGTACCACGACTACGCCATACCATACCATACCATACCATAACATGCCATACCATAACATGCCATACCATACCATGCCGTGCCTTACCATGGCTAATTTCAAGATAAATAATGTTAATTAATTTTGTGAAAATTCTTTTCTTTAGACAATTTGTGTATCCTAACGAAATAAAATGAGAGATATGACATAATGACATGAATTTTGATGAATTTTTCTTTAATTTATCATCAAATAATAATAGACTATAGAATAAAAATAGACCACCATTGCAGATAAATACCTATATATATATATGTTGTATATATGTATACATGAAACGTTTAACCTTTTGGATAATATCGTGTACGATCACCCCTTGAAAACAAGCTCTTTAAACGGTCACGAGTAGATTTAGGAAACGATAAAATTCAAAGAAAGAACAAACCAAGAGAGACCGCACATAAAGCAAAAGGGCCTGAAAGAAAGGGCTGAGAAGGAGGAAGGTGCGAATGAAGGTGCGAATGAAGGTGCGAATGAAGGTGCTTGGTTGGGCCTATCGTTATCTTTCAGTCATTCGTGCGAGACATAAGAACAAAATGCTCGTTAATAGGAGGTCATACGTTCGGTATAGTAATTAATTTATGAAGTGGTACATTAAAATGCACCCCTTTTCATTCGTTGCATCATGCAACGCGATTGAAAACATACGTGCATACATAAGTCACGTTTCTTACACTTTGTACCGGAAAATTTGAAATAAACATTATCCTGATAAGTTAATTATTACAATTAGTAATGTTTGGTGCCTTTTTTAAAAGGTTCAACGCTGACTAACGCTTACCTTTATAAACATTTTATAAAAGTAGTTTTATTATGGATCTATCCATCTATACGCGTTTGCGACATATTAATAAAAAAAATACTATGCTATGACTATGGGTGTTAAACAGCTGTTAAATTATCTCTGCTTAATTGTCACATTTAACACATTGTTTCATCAGCTTTGCAGTATATTACGTGTATATCTTCTTGTTAACCAATTTAAAGTATATTTTTCGTCAATAAATAAGCTTATAAGAATAAAACCACCAGAATTAACAATTAACCTTTTAACCGGGGAATTGCCTTTTTAATTATTTATGCTTAAGTACAAAGGTTTGTACCTTTAGCTTTAAATCAATCCTGCGATAAGGATACATATGCGTATATTATTTTTATAATAACAATGAATGCATTATTTATGACTCCGAGTATGCGCATGTAAATTCACATACACACAGAGGTGGTATACAGAAGTAATATGAGCGGATAAGAATATACGTAAAGATAGACACTTACTTTCCCACGGTCCGTTTATTATTAGAATCTTTTGCAAGGAGCCCCCTCATTGCCTCCTCATTGCCCCCTCATTGCCCCCTCATGCTTCTTTCGCTTGCCTACACTACAGGAAAGTTCTGTCGAGTGTACCGTCGGAGAGTATACTGAGTCATTCCTTAAAGAGACAACAAACCCCGAAAAGGAAACGACGAGTAAACGGCCCAATGAATGGAATTGTTATGAATGAATGCATTTACTACCATCGCCATTTTTTCCCCTCTCCCTCTTGTCTTTTTTCTTCTCGTTCAATGATCCAGCTTCTTGCTTTTTCCCCTCTCATTCTTTCATTTTCTACAAGAAGATAATGAATTATGAAATCGTTGTTTCACTTTATTCGACTCGATCAAATTTCGATCAAATTTCAATCAATAGAAAATATTTAACATGAGTGTACTAAATTTATTCTTTTTGTGTGTTTCAAGGGCAGTGAAAGCCTTTCAGCAGGTATTATGGGTGGAACCAAGTTTTCCACGAGCCTGCGAGGTTCACCTACGGCTTGGTTTAATGTTGAAGGTCCATGCTGATTTCGACGCCGCTTTGAAGCACCTGACCTTAGCTTTGATCGATGCAACCACACCTGCTTCCTTCTCCAAACTTGAAAGTAAGTTTTCAATTTTGATTCATATCTTTCATTTATTTGCAACAAATCCACAGATTACGCTTTAGCCGCAGATTCTACTAATAGATTTAAACCTTTTGCTGACGCGACGACTTTTTTTTACACCGGATGGATAAATTGTAAATTGTTGATACATGAAAGAATACAGTAGAAGATACGTAAAGGTAGTACGGTTTCTTCTTTCGGTGGCTGACAACATGAGAGTAGACATACGACTGCAAAAGGTTAATAGGATACTAATAAGATTCTAATAACAAATGATTGTTTATGATTTAATGATAATGATTCTTGTTGATTAATCAATTTTTGTTCGGTAAGCTTTGCCAACGAAAAAGAAAAAAAAAAGAAAAAAAAAGAAAAAAAAAAGAAAAAAAAGGGCATTTAATACGCCAGCGGGGAAAACTAAACAGCGGGGCAACATATAAAGAAGGTAATTTTCCTTAGAAATTGTCTTTCTCCGTTCGATCGGTCGAATGAATCACTTTCTTCTCGTCAAACTTGACCTACTTTTGTAATGCGCGCGCGATACTGACAGCAGCGGGTGGCGACGGTGGTGTTGTCGGTGGTGGAGGTGGTGGTGGTGGTGGAGGTAGTTTATCACATTGGCTGTGCTTTCAGGGCAATGACTCTATTCCGTAGGAACGCGAGAGAGTAGAGTAGTTAGAGTCGCGGGCGGTTAAGTCAGAGAAGAGCAGCAGCAGCAGCAGCGACAAACGAGTGCTTCGAGGAAACGCGTAACGCGCTTCAGGAGTGTCAAGGTCATGTCTTGCCATTTAAATCGAATATCTCTCTTCCGAGTATCACACGGTTAATAACATTTACCCCCTTAAGCCTGATCTAACGCTCATCTCTTCGCGTTAGATCTTCCCAATTATTATCTATTATAGTCATTTATTGAGTCATCGAAAATGACAAATTTATTTTTCCTCTTTTTCTAAGAAATTTCTATACCTTAGTCATAGATATTTCTAAGCAAAACTTGAGCATACTTAATTATAGCATTTTATAGCATTTTAGGATTGTAATTGTGGATAATTTGAATGAAGCCAACTTTGGTCTTCTTTTAAGTCTCCCAATATTCTAACATTTTCATCCATTTCACGTGTATATATGTTATAATATTCATTCTTTCCTATGTCTTTTACAAAATATACAAGATCTAATATGAATGACTTTTATTTTTGAATTGCAGTTAAATTTCATATCGCTCATCTCTACGAAGTTCAAGGAAGTTATCGCCTGGCAAAGGACCATTACGAAGCTTTACTCAAAGAAAAAGCTTTGCCATCGCATTTAAAGGCTGACATTTGTCGTCAGTTAGGTGAGCTTTAATATATACCTATATAAAACATTCAATTAACCCTTTTGTTTGATTTACATGGGTATTTTTATACACAGTTGCTCCATTTGTTTTTTGACAAAAATACTACATTTGTTGACAATTAAATGATTGATGATATATCAATTTAAAAAGTTTCCAAAATGATTCAAGTATTGAAAAACCCACGTTGTTTACTGACAAAGAGTTAATTACTTTACTTATGTAATACAGTAAGAACATAATTATTTAGTATGAATCAATGAAAGGACTTTTTTCGTCCTTTTCCTATTAGTACTTTGTGTTGACGGGTGGGGGGGGGGTTGATCAGTACACTCCCATGGTGTTCCTCGTTTTCGGCCTAAGGTGGCTCAACAACGATAGTGTATACCAAGTAGCAGACACGTGTATTGATTTATTCTGAGTTAGGGGTATGAGGAAAAGGGTACTGGAGGGTGGAACGAAGCGAGATAGAAATGAAGAGAGAGCACTAATGCCCTCGTGCGTGTACACGAGGAACGAACCTAAACGCGTCGTCGTCGTCGTCTGTCTCTTTGTGTGCGAGAGATGGCTATGCTTATCTCTGCCTGCCTGCCTGCCTGCCTGCCTACTTTCCTATGTTGCATACACGCGCGTCTCTTCTTTTTTATATATATCTTTTATATAATACAGACGAGCCTTGGCAAGATTGTCATTTTACCTTTATCTTCTATCTTCCTTTCTTACTTTTTCTTTTTTCTCTTTTTTTTTTTTATGGAAAATTCCTTTTCCCTCATTTGCCCTTTCAGTATTTCATATCTAGCAGATTAACGCCAATATGATAATTGTTGATATTATCTTGCTCGGAAATTCGAACGTTTATAACGGAGCAATTTGAGAAAGAGAAAACAGAGTAAGCCGGTTTGCCATCAGGGGCTGTTTTCTTTCAACAGCCCCTCCGACGCGTCGAACGATGCACCGAACGATGCACCGAACGATGCACTTTGAAGACAAGAGAGCACACAAGCTACCTGCTGGCTGGAGTACCTTTTACTGGGCCGAAACGGTACAGGACGACTCCTCGCTTCGCAACCTGTTTACGGCTTCTCGCGTGTTGTTGGTATCGTGACCGGTTCGATGATCTTCCCCTACTCTTACCACTTTTCTCCTATTTATTTTATTAATCCACACATTGCCCTTCGCATTCGATCTTGTTGATTTGTTTTTCTTTTTTCTTTTTTCTTTTTTCTTATTTCTTTTTTAGGACAGGACACAATTCCTGTCCTATATCTCTTACTCACGTTATATTACAAGGACAATTTAAATATAGATTTATAAATTAAGATTTATAAATGAATTTTCTTGAAAAACTAGTAATTTTTGTTCTTTAAACTAATAAATTTGTCCTTTTGACTATTCCTATTTTCTACGCCTATGCTTTATAGAAAGTTTGTAATTGGAGATGCAAGCACAAGGGAGATTTGCAAAGAGTAAGTAAGGCACCCCTTAAAAGTAGGTACCCTCCTAAGGTCCTATATACCTGAACAAATCTATTCGCTTTGCCATTGGTCCTAGTAGTATTGAAGGAAACAGGCTTCCTCTGTTTTTTTTTCTTTTTTTTTTCTTTTTTTTTTTCTTTCAGCCCTATTCTTCAATCCCCTTGAAGACTAGTTCTGTTGAAAATTTACGTTACCTAACAGAACGTATAAAGTTTCACAATAACATTTGAAACGTCGTCTTTCTTCTAGGTAAAATTAGGCGATTTTTCATCGATTTTATTGGTTAATATTTTGGTTACAGGATGGATGTACCATGTTGTTGATTGTCTCACATTAGGAGTAACTAAACAACAGAAACAAGCTATATCTATTCATTGTTTACACAAATCTATTGAAGCTGAGCCTAAAAGCGGACAGAGTCTGTATCTTCTTGGACGGTGTCTTGCTGCTTCGGGAAAAGTTCATGATGCGTTCATTGCTTATAGGTAATTGTTAACATATCAATATTTTTCAAATATAATATCTACATTTAGGTGCAGTTTACATTTGGTTAGTAATCTTCTATACCTTTGTAGAAATTCCGTGGAAAAATCGGAAGGAAATGCTGATACTTGGTGCAGTATAGGTGTTTTATACCAGCAACAGAATCAACCTATGGATGCACTTCAAGCCTACATATGTGCTGTACAATTAGATAAATCGCATTCAGCAGCTTGGACAAATTTGGGAATTTTATACGAGAGCGTTAGCCAACCGAAAGACGCGTTAGCTTGTTACGTCAACGCTTCTAGGTAAAGTCACATCTATTGCTACAACTTTTTTCAATAAAAGATATTATATGTATGTCCATAATTATGACAATGGTCTAAGTCATGTATCCCTTGTTTCGAGGTATTTCAAGATTTCTATTTGAACACTCTATATGAATTCTATGTAATATTGAAAAAACTAAGTAATAATCATTTTTTTTTTTTTTTTTATTTTCACTTACAATTCGACCACTTTCATGGGCACATATATTGTTTATATTGCACGTAGATGAATAAAAAAAGTAGAGAAAAGACATATCCAACTTTATTCTCCTCTGCTCGTATACATATGTATATGCGGGTATTTATGCATGCAATAGTTAGATAAGAAATGAAAAAAAGAAAAGGATTAAGGTGTTGGCAAAATAATTGGTGAAGAAAATATTATTATAGAGCAAAAAATGTGTTGATGATGAGATCCTGTCGTCTATCCTTGTAAATAGGTATTTTTTGTTACATACCATACTGTATTTTGTACTTTGTAGTAAAGGCAATCTCTGCTTCATTCGAGTGATGGTGATAAGAAAAGAGAGCTGTTGTAAGTCAAAGGCCAGATTTACGTTTGACAAAATCAAAAGTTCATCTGGTCACATGGTAAAAATGGTAGTCTTTACAAAGATTTCTTTAATATATTTTATAGGGGAAACAACAATACTCCTAGTTGTACGACTTCGCTGGTTGGACTGGGCGGTGCTAAGTCTGGTGGCAATACTCCGATGAACCCATCTCTACAACAACGAATAAACTTTTTGCAAAGTAATCTAAGTCAAGCACCAATGCCCTCTGTTGCTGCCAAGTAAGTTACTTTTAGGAGCATTAAAATAATATAAAAAAGGTAAAGTTTATTTGTGTATTTGGAAGATAAAGATTAATATTTGATGAGATGTTATAAAGAAAATATCAATTAATTTCTTGTTATATAGGAGGCGGCAATTGCCGTCAATAGAAGAAGCTTGGAATTTGCCGATTAGCGCTGAAATGTCTAGTAGGCAACAGCAGCAGCAGCAGCAGCAACAACAACAACAACAACAACAACAACAACAACAGCAACTACCTGGTGGTCCAGGATATAAATATGGCGGTGCTCCGTCTGGACCACCACCGCCTTATCCTCAAACCCAAGGTCAAAGTATAGGTGGAAAAAGGTTTAAGGTAAAATGATTAACAACTTTTGTAATAATAAGAAAATCACATATTTCATATTTATATTAGATTTTAATAAGTGTGTGTGTGTGTGTGTGTGTTACATTTTGTTGCCCTTAGCCTGGAGATGATTCAATTTCGCCTCCTCCACAAAGACCTCCACCATATTATTTATCGATTCAACAATTACATATGCTGCAATTTCTGCAGCAGAATCCAAGTAGTTTATCCGCACAACAACATGCTTTACTTATGCATCTTCAGCATCAATATAGATTGATGCAACAGCATCAACAACAAATCAGATTGCAACAGCAACAAGCTGCTCAGAGAGGACTTAGGCCAGGACAACCGGGATATCCCACCGTTTATTCTCATGGACAGCCACCAGGACAACCTGGTGTTATCAAAAATTATGGCATTCCTCAGCAACCCGTATGTCGTCATATTCTCCTTTATACTCTTAAGTCATTTAAGTGACTCGAACAATTGATCAAATGTTCTTCCAATGTTTCTCAATTTTTAATTTATAAATATAATTGAACACAGATTAATATAAGAAATGTAAAAGAAAATTATTTCATTATTATTTCATTATTATTTCATTATTATTTCATTATATTACACATATTAAGGAAAATTAAATGAAATTAACAAATCGTGGTGTATTGATCAAAATGTTCAGTTTGAAAAAATGAAATTTTAGTACTTCGCTTTATACCACCACCCTCCTTTTGCTTTCAATACTTGACATGTTCAGGTTTTAAGCACTGAATGTTGTGTGTGTGGTGCGTGACTACATTTTCTTGCATCTGTACAGCATTATCAAAGCTCTACCTACCTATAATATCATCGCTTTGTGGTACCAGATAACTTTGATTTATCGTCGATGAGAAAGCCCAGATGTTTAATAATTTTGTCATCTCTGACATTTTATTTGCACTTATTGGATTGACTGACCTCATTACGAAATGTGGCTAAAAGCATTTATTTGTTTCTATTGACTATTTTATCACAATCGTATTCTCGAATGTTTAAAACTAACGTTATGACGACTTACCAGTAACAAACAAATATTACTTATATTATATCCGAATTTTATATATATATATATACATAAATGGGGGCCGCTCATTTTGAAAGTGTAATAGTTACATTTTTACATGATCTTTTCATTCTGAAGCAATTTCTTACTAATATATTTCAAATCAATATGAAATCATATTGTTTATTAATTTCCGATTGCACCTGGTGGTGGTTGTTATTGTACAATAATTTTATGTTATGTATCAATAAAGCATTTGAGGTTGCTGCTTATATTTCTAGTAAATATGATAATACTTTATTGTAAATATAAAATGAGATAACAAAATTATTAGAAGACGCAATTTTGAAACAAGGGTCAAGAATTCTGATGAAGAATGAATAAACTACTTAAAAATATGTTGGATGTGTTTTATCAGAAATAAACAATCACGTATGAAATTTTCTATAAGACATCAATGAATGAGAATGAAAATTGGAAAATCCTGAATTTATTAGCACGTCGGTCGGGTAATATATCGTTCCGGTGATATGATTTCTTCAAATCCCTTTCACACACACACAAAATGTAGATGAGTAGTAAATTGTTTTGTAGGTTATATTTGTCATTTTGTACGTTGTGTAGTTGAAAAATTTGTTTTCAATCGCATCAATTATGTTTCTGAAGTGTTTTCAAGATATGTACAATAAATTGAGTATTGTTTTTTTTTCAATTGGAAGCATCTTAAATTATGTTGAATGGAGTCAAGTGTCCCTTTGTTGAAATCTTATAACAAATCAAATAGTTGATATTGACAATGGCCTAACTCCATTCGTGGTTAGAAAAGGAAGGCCATATTTTATTCACTTAATAATTGCCACTATTTTAATTGAAACTATAAATTGGAACACTCTTAGGATACACTTAAGCAAATTGAAACGCAAACCCTTGAATATCTCGATTCGAACATAAATGGAGTTTATGTTATGCCGCCACTTTCAAAATAGGCGGCTCATGTATACGCGCGCGAATATGCTTTGTATTATTATAACAAGGACTTAAACTGTCGTGAAGTTGTGTTTACAACAACGCAATGTTGACATTTTTTTAACATTAACTTAGCAAATGTTAAGCAAACTGACTAACTCTGAGAAAGAAAGGTGTACTGTGACTTGTTGTTGTTTTATTATCGTTCTAACATTTGATTTGAATTGTTTGAGTCACACACAATCATACAGTATAATAATAATAATCGTAGAACAATCACGCGCTATTGGAATATTATTTAAACATTATTTCTCTCAATATTATATCATTTTAGTTGCAACAAGGAGGAACCGTAGCTCTGCAAACAGGATTTTCCGATTCAAATGTAGGCTACAATAGTGTAGCGACGGGTAACACGCAAACCCCTGGGATGCCTTACAAATCTGCTTCGGATCCTAATTATCCTCAAAGACATTTAACAAGTCAGAGCGGTCAATTCAATAATCAGTATCAATCTAATCAATACGGAGCACAAGGCTATCCTCAGATCTCTTCGACGACGAGTAGTTATCCCGAAGGTTCGGCAGGGAATAAGGATTTAGGTGTTACGGATCAAGAATTGCAAGCCTTGTTGTCTCAGAAAGATTTGGCCACGTCATTGGCAGAAGACTTATTAAAACATTTTGGTTCGGAAGATTTGGATGTCAAAGAGGAACCACCTGGCATTATCATGAACAATGGTACATTGAGTTCCGGTCCATTTTCCCCATCAAATATGGAAGAAAATTCTGATAAGAAAAATCAAGTGAAATTAGAAAAGTTGGATGAAGTTCATCAACCATCGTCTACCTCCAATATAGTAGATATGTTCGATAAAAAGGAGTCTAAAGCAGCATCTAACACAGTCGCAGTAGAAACTATTAAATGTGAGGCAACTTCTAGTACAAATAAAAGTGAATGTTTAATAACAAGAACAGCAGAACCTGTTTTGAAATTAGAGAGTTTGTGCGAGTCACAATCGGAACAAGAATTAAGCATAGAAATGGATGCTAAAACTGTCATCGAAATGTGTAAGGGCCAAGGATTAAAGGGAGTTCCAAATTGTTCTATTTTGAGTGATCGTTCACCTCCACCGGCACCGCCGGAACCTCCTAGTCAAAAATTGACCAGGGAGCAACTTTTACCGCCTACGCCTAGTATCTATTTAGAAAATAAGAAGGATGCATTCAATCCGCATTTACAAGAATTTTGTCTGAAACATCCTATAGCTGTAATACGTAGTATGGCGGCTGCTCTTAAATTGGACTTGGGTCTATTCTCGACTAAAACATTGGTAGAAACTAATCCCGATCATGGTATCGAAGTTAGAACACAAGTCCAACAGACGAGCGATGAGAATTGGGATCCGGTAGTGGGGAAAAAAGTTTGGGGTTGTATTAGTCATCGAAGTCATACAACTATAGCTAAATATGCTCAATATCAAGCTTCGAGTTTTCAAGAAAGTTTGAAGGAAGAACGTGAAAAGTCTCAGGGTATACATACATCGAACTTATCGGATTCAGATTCGAAAGATAGTACTGGCGCTGTTAGGCGAAAGAAAAGTAGTAGTACATTTGGCCTTTCCGGTCGGCCAGGTTCGAAAATGTTACGTTTTGGGACCAATGTTGACTTGTCCGACGAAAGAAAGTGGAAAAATCAATTGCAAGAACTCATTAAGCTACCTGCTTTTGCTAGAGTTGTCTCAGCTGGCAACATGCTCAGTCATGTTGGTCATGTTATATTGGGAATGAATACCGTGCAATTATATATGAAGGTATTTTCTTCAAGTTAATCAAATGTATTTCTTACTCCCTCTAAATATATATTTAGATATTTAGATATTTAGATATATATATATTGTTTGTGTCTTATTATCTGTTTTCTTGTTACAGGTTCCTGGAAGTAGAACACCTGGACATCAAGAAAATAATAATTTCTGTTCAATAAATATTAATATCGGACCAGGCGATTGTGAATGGTTTGCTGTACCTGATGCTTATTGGGGTGTCATTTGTTCCCTATGCGAACGTAATAATATCAATTACCTTCACGGTAGCTGGTGGCCTTCGCTAGAAGACTTATATGAAGAAAACATTCCTGTTTATAGGTTTTTGCAAAAACCAGGAGATCTCGTTTGGGTCAATGCTGGTAAATTGAATTGTATAATTGAAGTAATTTGCAAAATTACTACTACCACCACATCTACTATCTATCCATTGAATTCTAATAGAAATAATGTGGTCTTATTTATTATTCATTATTCATTAGGTTGTGTACATTGGGTGCAAGCAGTAGGTTGGTGTAATAATATTGCCTGGAATGTAGGACCTTTAACTGCTCGTCAATATCAGCTGGCTATAGAACGTTATGAATGGAACAAATTACAATCCTTCAAATCGATAGTGCCAATGGTCCACCTATCTTGGAATTTAGCTAGGAACATTAAAGTATCGGATTTAAGGCTTTTCGAATTGATTAAAAATTGTCTCTTAAGGACAATGAGACAGTGTTGTTTAATATTAGAATTTGTAAAAAGCAAAGGCGTTGAAGTTCGATTTCATGGACGTGGAAAGAATGAAGCATCTCATTATTGTGGACAATGCGAGGTAAGAATTTCACTAAAAGCTTCTAAATCATGAGTTCCAGTTCATGAGATAGATACATTGTAAGTATATTTATTTGATTCTTTTGTTCTTTCTTTTGCAGATTGAAGTTTTTAATATTTTATTTATACGTGAACAAGAGAAACGTCATGTAGTTCATTGTATGGATTGTGCGCGCAAACAGGCACCTTCCTTGGATGGATTCGTTTGTTTGGAAGAATACAGAATGAGAGATTTGATGGACGTTTACGATGGATTTACTTTACACACGTCATTAAATGCTCCTTCGTTATCAGGACAGACTAACCAATCCTCCTGAGGTTACATGCAGCACAGATATTTGGACTTCTTAGGCACTTTACAGTGACTTTGATAGTACAATTTCTGTGTTTATATATACACTATATATATATATATATACAATATAACTAATGTAATTATTAATAATGAATTTGTTAGTAATCACAACGTACCTGAGAGCTAAGAAAAGAAACTAAAAATAGTGACAACGACGACAACGATGATACATACATAAATATAAATATCAATAATCATGAACAAAATGGAAGATAATCTTTACCACGAATATAACTGTAATAGTTTTCTCTTTTTAATCTTTCTTTACTATATTTATAATTATAATAATAAGAATAATAATAGAGTAATAGTAATAGTAATAGTAATAGTAATAGTAATAGTAATAGGAATAATAATAGTAGGTAATAATAACTTGAATAATCATGTTTGAAATTTGGAAAAATTTGCTAATTTTTTAATTGAATTTCTCTAAGCTCTCGGGTATTGGTTCTCTATTGTTAAATTTGATAAAAGACTGTTTTCAATAATAAATTAATTGAACGTATGTGTGAGGTTGGAGAGGAAAATCGATAACGAAGGAGCACGCGCTTGTATATTAGTTACCAAATTCAAATTTAGAATTAATAATGTTTAGTATAAACATCTGAGGGGTAAAGAGATAAACAAAAATGGAAAAAGGATCTCCTCTTGCATTCTTATGAAATGTTCATGATAGCATACATAGTTGAAAATGATCGATTAAGTGATTTTCTCTTCGACCTTATATATAATTCATTCATTCATTCATTCATTTTGTTTTAATAGATCTCTCTCAATTTAGTGATAAAATGAATCAAATGAAAATGAGTTAATGGAATAATGAATTTGCATGAGAACATTTCACTGCCACAATGAACTTTATGTTGGAGTACAACGTTCTTATTTATTCTTATAGTTTGAATTCACATGTACTACTACTATTATTATTATTATTATTATTATTATTATTATTATACTTAGCCATTGTTAACTACTTTTAAATTGATTAGAATATTAATGTAATTGAAAGAAAAAAAGAAAAAAAGAAAAAATGATAAAACTGTTTGAAAAATTGGTGGTACTACCTTGGTATGTTTGGTAGGTACCGTCAAGAAGAGAGAGATATAGAGAGAGAGAGAGAGAGAGAGAGAGAGAGAGATTATATTATTTTTATTTTCATCATTATTATGAATATTATTCAATTGATTTAGATGAAATCATTCTTGTGGTATTTTTAACCACTTTAATGTTCTAATCTTGACTGCCTGGAATATTATGATAACTTATATATTATTTATGTCCAAATATACGTCGAGAGTTGAATTGTTTTCTTCATTGAAATGTTTCAAAGAGTGTGGTCCACATAAAGTGTTATAAAGTTTTGAGAGAAAGTTTAAGTTTCTTTTTCCTAACAACAGTTTATTATAATTTGTCACGTTGCTAATGTAAACATGCAAGATTTGAAGTGCTTGACTAAGTGTTCATTATAAATTCGTAATTAATGAATAAAAGGTTAATAATTAAGGTTAATAACATTTAAGATGATTAAGATGCACAATTTATCATAAAAAATGTATAACAGTTTTTTGCGGGCCACTCTTCATTGAAAAATTATTGAAAACAAAAAACTATTATAAGAGAGTGGTGGCATTGTATAAATGGAGAAAAAACTCTCATTCATTTTTACAGTTACTTACTAACGTCTAATGATAATATCATTGCAAATGAAGGAGTTTATTAATATAGAAAACACGTACCTTCTTCTTCACAATCTCGTCAATTCATAGCGGCGGTTTTTTCTTTTTTAATTGAGTGCATCCGTACGTGCCAGAAATAAATAAATAAATGAATAAATAAATAAAGAAAGAAAGAAAGGAAGAAGAAAATACTTATGTAATTATAAGCAATTGACAAATTCGTCGAAACTGTATTTTGTATTTTTCACGAAAATATGAGAAACAAAGTGAATTTCAAATGAAAAGAACTCATGAAAATTAAGAAGATGGACAGAGAAAGAGGTGTTTGGTGTCGATCATAAACAAAATAATATAAACAATGTATTTTTAAAATAATAGAAACGCTAGTCCACCGTGAAAAAGAAAGAGAATAGTAGAAAACAAAAAAAAAAAACAAAAAAAAAAATAACATCTCTTTACAAATGTCACTTTTATACGCATCGACCAGATTTAAACTAAACTAATATTCATATAAACGAACGCTATAGAGGATTTTGGTCAAATAAATATATCAAGATTTTGGTTTTTTTCTTCTTCTTTTTTCGTTTTTCTTTTGGCAAACAATTAATGCTATAGTTGTGTGTATAATAAAATCATTTGTATTGCTTATATTTCAATGAAATACCGAAAAACTTTGATCTCAAGCAATAATAATATATTGGCTGTTGTTAATAGAAAATCATTGTATCGGCAATTTTAGTAACACTTTGATTATTGTTTATTAGGAATGATATCTCTTTCCATATATATATATATATTTAATATGAAAACTAGAGATATATAAAAGAACAGAAAAAGAAAAGCAAACTACAATCGATTGTTTTTACTGCTTTTAAAAATGCTCTAATTCCGAATTAAGATTCATATATACATTGTATTCTTCTTCTTCTTTTTATTTTTATTATTATTATTATTATCGTTGTCATTGTTTAATTATATTGCAAATGTCTCAGAAGCAAGTGATATAAAATTTGGACATAAAAAATATGTTGGATATTTATTTAGCATATATTTCTATCATAAAATTGAATTATTTTAATTTGAAATTATTTTTATAATAGTTGTGTTTTTGTTTTTTTTTTTTTGGTATTATTGGCTAGAATTTCATGTGATACGCTACAGTTTTTCAGTGTCAGTAATTCGGATGAATATTTTTCCCAATATATATATATATATTCGGAGAGACTACGTGATGATATCTTTGTTTTTGAAAAATCGCTTCGAATGTTTCTTTTTTCTTAGCTTGTTCTGGCTATTAACACAGCTAGAATTGTATTCAAAATTAGTAATGAATACAAGAGAATAACTCATTGACTCGAATAGAAATATACCATAATTAAAATTTGATACTACTCGGATTACATTTTTTAAATAATTATAAAATACACGCGTATATTGTATAAGTTTTCCAATGAAATATTTGACAAGAAAAAAATCGTAGGTACACATATATATATATATATACATACATATACAATAATTCCACGATTTACGTGAGTAAATTGGTTTGAAATAAGAATCCGTTCCACATTCTTAAATATGTATAGATAATGAGATAAATAACCCTAGGGTATCCCTGAATTCCGCGTAAATGGTGGGATTACTGTTTGTACACCTCACGAATAATTTGAAAACTTAAATTATGAAATACCTTGCACGTGACTGTAATGATGGTCATCGTCATCTCGCTGTGTACAGATCATGCAAAAGATTTGTATTTTGATATCAAGAAAATATCCTTAGAGAATATCTCATTGGTTTTGTAAAGCTTGCCATTCAAAACAAAAATAATAATAATAATCACGAATACATTATATGATTGATGAAACAAAATATTTCCAAATGTTTAACAAATGAAACAAAAGAAAAAGAAACTTTTTTACTAAAATCATCTTACAAGATATTCTGATAGAGCTTTGAATTCCATTGTACGTATAAAAAGATTAGATAGTTATGAGAGAACAAAAATGACAAAACAAAATAAAAAGGATAATTATGAAAGAGTGAATAGAGAGAGAGACATACAAAAAAACAAACAAACAAACAAATAAATAAATAAAAAAAAAATAAAAAAAAAGAAAGAAAATATTTTCGCTACAACCGTGTACAAAAGTTTAAGTTTTACACCAACATAAATAAAAGTAACAATGTGAAAACCGACTTGCATATAAAAATTTATTTTTTCTCTATGAGCAAAAAAGATATAAAAACGTAAAACGATATTTTCTAATTCATCTCTGTGTAATACAAACAAAGAAAAAGAAAAATAGGCGGAAAAGAAGAAAAAAAAATAAACACGCAGAACCATATAATACATATAAGCGAATATGTGTGAGAACTATGTTTTAAACTGTATGAGAGAACGATTCACTGCCAAATTGTGATAAAGAGAGAAAGAGAGAGAGAGAGAGAGAGAGAGAGAAATATTCCCACCTAAGAGCAGCAGGAGTGTTTTCTTAACTTCTGATTAGCATTGAAAAAAAACCACTACGATGTGTTTCCTCTTAATCTTTATACATAGTTACCGTGAATTCTGTGCACCCAAACAGTAGTAGTCAATCTATAAACCTAAACTTAAGAATATAGAAAAAGGAAGAGAAAATAATTATAATAAACGTAAATAAATTTAAAAAAGAAATATATAAGAGTACATAAATTACACATAGTTTTGACCAATGCAGTTAGAAATAAAGGAAACTACTCCCTTATTAATAAGCATGTAGCATTTTAAACAAAATTAAGAGAAAATGGATTGATATTTTTAAACAGGCACGTGTTTTACTGTTTAAAAGTTATAGGTAAAGAAAATAAAAGATGACAGGGGTGAAAAGAATGAGTGGAAACATCCAACTGCTATTAGCAGCGCCCTTCTAAATTGTATTTTTACGTGTACAGTGCCTTTATATATTAAACAAAGACACATTTACACACACACATTTACACACACACACACACACAACTTCGAAGAAAGATAAATTTGACCCTTCGAGATATCGTCCATTGTTTTCTTTTTTTTCCTTTGTGAAGATTGTGCAAAAAATGACTAATTATATATTAACAGTTTTGATATATTATTAGTGTATAATAATGATCAATAAAATAATAATAAAAGAAACAATGTCGATTTGTCGAGTGGTCAAATAATATTGCGAGGTCCCTCCTAAGTGTCGTGACGACGTTCTCTTCTATAATATAATTAGTTTTTAAATTGTAATATTAATTATTGATACACACTACAGCTCTGTAAGTAGATTATTATTAAAGAAAAATAATGTAAAAGTGTACAGTGGAATCCAAATGATCTTTTAATAATAATGAAAGATCATTTATCGTAGTTAGCCTTGATCATGTCTTTACAATTATTATTATTATATTATTTTTATTTCTATTATCATGTTATTATTTAAGGATTGATGATGATTATTATTATAATTATTATTATTATTATTATTATTATTATCGTAACCATGATTATTATTATTATTATTATTACTATTAATATTTCATTGTCCATTATTGTCATCATTGCCAACCATCATTGTCACCGTCATTATCATTATTACTATTACAATTATAATTTTCGTGTTTACGATAACAATGTAATATACATTTATGGAGAATTTGTTTATCTGTACATTTGAAATTGTAAACAACGCTAGCCTTTAATTTAAAAGAAAAAATCAGAATTTTTATTGATTGTACACCCCCACCCAATAAAAACTTTTTCTTTTTTTTAATAATTTCAACTCACCTGAGGGAGGAAAATTATATATATATATATATATATATGTATATATATAATTGCTTTTTCATTGGAGAAACAGATATATGTTTATTGAAGAAATACCACAACTCGTAACGCGATCTGGGGTATAAATGTAAATCTTTTTTTTGTAAATGTTTCAACAAAAGAGATATAATGCACGATAATTTTTGGATTTTTAACAACAGGTCAGCCGTGCTAAATTCGACCTTATTTATGTACATATGATTTGTAAAACTGTTTAAGTTCTTCTCAAAGCTCTCATTTGCTTACGACGAGCCTGCACTACACCGTAAACAACAGCAGCCAAACTTCGGCAAGTACTTCTATGTCTGGTTGTAGTCTCTTGATTTAACGTTCCTTTTCCAAGAACAAAGTATGTTTCCATAGTACCTTTACCTTTTACCTCGATTAATCCACGTTTTTGTGTTTGATATCCTCTCGATTCCAAAAACTACAATTAATAGAAGATTTTCGACGATCGATTTATCTTTCTATAGAATGTATTATTATTAACCATTGTTAATCATTGTTAAATGAAACTAAACAAATTAATTACCCTTGCAATTTCTTGAGGAACTTGTATCTTTCCCATAACTCCGGTCGAGTCCATGCGAGATGCCTCGTTAACCGTATTACCCCAAATATCAAATACTGGCTTCCTTGCCCCAATAACTCCCCCTACCAATGGTCCACAACTGATACCAACTCTCAGATCAAAGTTATTAAATGAGTGAACGTTCACGTCCTCTAAACGAAGTCTCATTGCAACTGCATAATCTACCAATCTACACAAATGTTCCATATCGTCTTTATTCTTCTCCTAAAGAAAATATTTCATCGTTAATAATCGTTGTAAATGAATATATTTACATAGAAAATATTTATTGAAAAAGAAAATCTTACATTTTGTGTCGGATTCAAACCGGACGCTGCCATATAAGTTGCACCAACAGTTTTGATTTTTTCAATACAATGAAAACGATTTTCATCGAGAAGTTCATCAAAATCAGCTAAATACACATGTATATACGTATTATTAATTATAATACACAACGCTTTACATATATATATATATATATATATTTGAATGATCCCTCACACAAACTCACCAATAATTTCATTCAACAGACGTATACATTCCATTCCCTTGTTAACATCTTCCGAATAAAATTCGGTAAAGTTTGGTACGCTGGCAAACATAACGCCAACTTTGTCGCGTGATTGAGAATATAGTTCCTAAAAATATATTTACAATCAAAATAATCTCATTTAATTTTAATTAATTTAATTAATTAGACGTATTTACCTCCGGAGCACGATCTTGAGTTAAAAAATGATGAGCTACATGATCGGGTAAAATATTCTTCAGTAATTGCATGTTATTATGACGGGATTCTATCATATCACCGAGTTCTCTTTCAGCTTGCTGCTTCCAAAGGAAATCCAATCGAGATGTTACTTCTACCAATCGTCCATGATAAGTTACCATTACGAGAAATACTACTAGGAAGACCAACATTTGTGCAGAGAGCGGTATTGATGTACTGATTAATATGTAACAATATGTCAAATATTGAATATATACACTTGGGTTATCTTAAATGAAACTTTTTAACGAAATAATGAAAAACTCACGTATTGTTATGATCGGGTCCATCGGAAAATAAATCCTTATAGACAACGAGTATCAATACAGCATAAACCAAGACAATAGCCGTAGCTAAAGCTGTTTTAACTAAATAATATAATTTCAGAGCCGATGCTAATGCAATGAGACATAGAATCCAAGTAAAAACGATGTATTCAGAACGAATGCAGCTGGAGGAGTTGTCAATATAATCTTCGTGAACATTTGTATAGGGAAATTGTTGGTTATGCATAGGATCTTCAGGGATCGAAAGAATTTTCCTCAAGATCATATCATCATCGGCACGTTTACGAGCAAATCTTCGATAATGTCTTCGAAGTCCAGGAACATAATGTTGCTCATATTTATAAAACCTGAAGAATTCTTTTCTATTATGACCTTGGCTCGAGCTTGTTTTACCATTGAAAAGCCTAGTTAATTTGACTTTAATATCGCCAGAGTCATGAGTTACCGTTCGATTGTCAGCCACTTGGGTAGACTCGTCTTGAAGCGCTGCTTCTAAAAACGTTAAAATAAATTTGTCAAGGCCAACCGTTGTTGTTGTTGTTGTTGTTGTTTTTGTTGTTGTTGATATTGTCGATCCTGGTTGTTCCGTTGTAGCAGTTGTTAATTGCTGTTGTTCGAGTACCAATACTTCTGGATGTTGTCTAGTTTGTATAGGGCACACTGTCACTCCTACTATCGATGTCAGTGCCATCAGGCTGATAATTCCGCATATAAAAATTGTACGATGTCGTTTATTATGAACTAACATAGAAGAAGCATGTTGAAGGTATAATGGCATCCCTTTGAACTCTTCGGCCATAACTAGTACCGATGATGCCATCAAAATGGCTGTTGTAGTTAGTAGGCAGATCAGCAAGATTATGCAACTAACATGAACATATTCAATTTGTATGATCAAATATGAGCTCATGTATATATAGATATAGATATAGATATAGATATAGATATAAGCGAATTTTCTTAGTCTTTCTATTTATATTAATCAATTAATTATAGATTGTTTGTAGACTTACGTTGGTAAAATGATGGCCTGACAGATAGCGATGAAGAGCCAAATTACGAAACAACATATCATGTTTGATTTGAACATGTCCTCTCGCAGTTGCCCAAACTGTTTCAATAACAACGAATACAACAATATTACTTTAGTTTGCCACGTTTAGATAAATATTCAAAGAAAATCAAACAGATGAAGTAACCTTAGTTTCAAGACTCTCGTCGTTGTAACGTAAAGTCCAAGCATTTATATTGGCTGACCTCATTCTTTTATTGCTTGCAGTTTCTTTTTCAGTAGCAGCCTTAGTACTTTTAGCAACACCATTCTCATCTTCCAAGTATTCTGATTCCAAGTTACTGATAGACGTAGCATTGTTCAACTACAATAATACAATATGAAATGATATTAACAGAAAGAGAAAAATATGACCTGAACCTAAAATGGTTGACAAAGACAAATGATATAAACATTTTCAAATGGTATTTCAGGTGTCCAGTCAACCGCAGCGTCTTCGTCTTGTGAAGTATTAGGGTTATTGCTGTTACTCGACAATGGGTTACCAATTTTGAAACTTCTCTTCCCTTTATTATGCCCATCCTCTTCATTCCAAATTTTTGGACGCGAGGAATATCTTCTTCTCGATTTTTGAGGTTCTATTTGTTTAATTAAATATGTTTCAACGTTTCTCTCCTTCAAATAATTATCCCTCTCTACGCCATTGCCCGGCTCAACTTCGTAAACATCGTCTAAACACTTCAATGTGTCCACCGATATATGTACTCTCCTAATAAATACGCAATAAAGAGACATTAAGAAGAACAAAGGTAAGTGTATAAAAGCTAACTAACTTTTGGATTAGTGCTATTTACCCTGGTATGCCACCGCTTTCCAAATGATTGGCTAAAGTTACGTCGTACGACCAAACATCAAACTGCCATTTTCTCAGTCCTAAAACTCCGCACAATACCGAACCACTATGAATACCTATTCTCATGTTTAAATCTACCTGTTGAAAAGAAAAGTATTCAGCATTATTGATTGATCAGCAATCACCAAGACAGAATGAAGAAAGAAAATGAAATGTACGATACCTTGGTCGTGTATCGTACATCACGAATGGCTTTGATCATATACAAGCCCATTTCGACGCAACAATGAGCATGATCGCTTCTAGCTGTTGGTAACCCGGACACGCAATAATAGCAATCTCCAAGAAGTTTTATACGAAGACAATGATTCTCCGATGAGAGTTTATCGAAACGTGCAAATAGATCGTTCAAAACCTTTACTAATTCTTGAGCACTGCATTGGCTAGCTAATGCTAAATAGACAATATATACATGATTTCATTTATTTATAAGAAATTTATTCAAACAAATTGATAACAAATCGTACCAGTGAATCCTTTGATATCGGCAAAAAGAATGCTAACGTTTTCGTAACGATGAATATAAATTCTATGAAATTGATTGGGCGTGAAAGATATTGTACCTCCCCTAGCTGTTTCACGAGCAATATCGCTTATCATTTCTTTCGCTACAAAATCTGGCAAAACTGAAAATAAATAAATCTACATATATTTAAGAATCAGTTTCTATGTCATAGATAGATGCCTGCATAATTTGCTTCAAGTCGTCCTTTGCTTTGCTTTGCTTTGCTTTGCTTTGCTTGACTTTGTTCTTCCTCTTTCTTTTTTGTATCAATGAAGTAAAAAGATGAACATGAAGTAATCAAACATATATTGACGTATATCAACAAAACGATGCTTGCGAACGTTGGGATGGATAATCTGTCGAGCAATCGACCGAAAGTGTCTAGTGACCCTTTTAAACGCTCAACTGAACATTAAGTTACACGCACTAGCGAGCTTCGCGGTCGCCTCATAGCTACCACGTTTATATCGCGTTATGTATTATTTATATCCCTCTATGTATGTAACATAAAAAAAGATATAATATTTAATACAGATTATTGAGACCGGTCACGAGTAGATTTGCCGTTAGACTACTCGTGTTTGCTTATAAATATATGCATGTAATTTATGTAATTATTAAAATGAACAACATTATTTTTATCCCTATTAAGATATTTTTTGTTTTTCTTTGAAAAGATATACTTATAACTTGACTTTATATGAATCTTATCGATGAAAAAAGATCGGTAATACTTGTCTTCTATAATAGATGGCCTAAACAAAGATTCAATTGCTTGAAATATTATTTATAATAATCAATGGTCTTCTCACCAGAAAGTAACAGTTTTTCCTGTCTGTTATTTTCATTCTGAGTTCGCTGTCTAGTTTCCATCGAACGATGAGTTTCTAAGAATGCTTGTCTTTGACCTCTGTCCGTCAAATATTTCGTATACATTCCTGCGAGATTGACAGCAAGATAAAGGAGTACATTGGTTGTTAGCATACGTACGATACACGTTACATCCTGTAACTATATTCATTAGATGAAGATTTAAATATATATATATAGTTTATAGGGTATATAGTTTATAGGGTATATAGTTTATAGGGGGTATCGTGGTATTAGATAATCAATATTGACAATAATGATTATAATAATCTCTTACATATGTGGTATCGTGCAATAAACTAATACCAGCCATCGCCATGTGTGTAAAGGCTGTACCATAACCAGCAAGGACGCACCATCTCAAAGGAAGAGGTAACATAGCATAAGGTGCATAAACTACAAATAAGATGTACCACATCAAGCGTTGTTGCGACGAAAAGTTTAGTCCAGCTCCAATAAAACCTGTCAAGGGAATAAACAAAAATAAGCGACGAGAAAAAAATAAACAAAATTGGATCTTGACATGCTCCAATTAGATATTTTCTTAACATTCTATTAAAGGCGGTAGTTAAAACGTAAAAGTGTCGATCGATGATGAAGCTAGAAAGAGAATGAGAGAGAATGGGAGAGAATGAGAGAGGAGAAAGAAAGAGAGACGCGAAAATACAGAGTTTGGTCGCTTTAATACCTTCTTTCCACGGTCGAACGAACATTCGTTCGATTCGCTAAACTGACTCGATACTTCGAGTCATTGGAGCAAAGCTTTGCCACGACGAACAAAAATATTGAATCAATCGATATCAGGGATGATGATATTACAGAGTTACTCTCTATAGATCCACTCTCTGATGTACACGTTAAAACTGAAAATATATATATATATAGAGGGAGAGAATGAGAGAGAGATAGAGAGAGAGAGAGAGAGAGAGAGAGAGAGAAAGGGAGAGAGAGAGAGAGAGATGTTTAATAAATAAATAAATATAAACGGGGTGTGCGCGCGAATACGTTCAAAGAAAAATAATTACAAATTCAATAGAGTAATAGAATAACCTTGCGAATTGATTAATAACCAGGTAAATATCGAGGCCCAGTATAAATAATTGTTCGAAAAACATCTCCACCATCCTAGAATGCAGACCATAAGATTAGCAGCTATACAACACGATGCCCATGATAACGATTCAATGAGACCACCGCTGTTCTTTTCTCTTCTCCAAAGCCAGATAGAAACTAAAGCGATCTGTAGGCAAAATATATTGATTCATTTTATTCTTTAATGAAATTTCTTCTGTTCAATGTATACCTATATATTTATGAAAACACATAGGAACGATATTGTATGAAGGTACGTTAAAGAGTCATTAAAAATCCTATCGGTGTACGTTCATACAATCATCATCCTGTATTAATGGAAATAAAAAACAAAATAAAATCAAATTATTTATTTTTCACCTTTAGTCCAAGATCGACGATATTAAGCATGATTAATGCTTTTTGTCGTTGTCGATTTGAGTAATGAAGATACGAGGTCTCCAATTGTTTACTGTGAAAGTTGTTGGTCAACGAAGGACAGAATATCCCCTTATAGAGCACCCCTTTCTTGAAGACATCTAAAAATATCAATCTTTTTATGTCTCTTTATATAGAACGTCGGAATATATTGGAGTAATCTAACATGCTACACGCAAGTAGTCGTTCTTCTTCTTCTTCTTCTCTTCTTCTTCTTCTTCTTCTTCTTGGATAATATTATTACATGAACATATTATAGCAAAATTTGCTAGGAATAAAATAAAAAGGGCAATATAAAATTTTTATTAGAGATAATATTTGTGATAGTAATTTTATTTTCATCGTCTACCTCGATGAATTTGAGCTTCATCTTCGGGCACAGCAGCTTCAGCTAAAAGAGCTTCAGGATCCGTTGAGATTTGAGTTTCATCGTTGGTTGCGTCATCGTTGGTATCATCGCCCAGTTCCGGGTCGTCGTTATCTAGTTTAGGAGTCTCCCAAGCAGCTAGTCCTTCCCTTCCTAATCTTTCAGAAGTCAACTTCTTCACTGCCTTGATCCATAGTTGTTTTCTCGGTGAAATAGCCAGTCTGTTAAGAAGGAAGGGTCATACCAAGAGACAATAATATAAATTGCTAATAACTTAATAATTAATTATAATAAAATTAAACTTACTCGTTGATGCCAGTGACATCGCTATCCAGCATCATGGTCCAAGTTTGTTCTGTAATCATTATCCCACCGATGATCCGCGAGACAAGTAATCGCTCACGTTGTAAGTGTGTAAGTATCCGGCATTGTCAGGCAAGTTAGGCCAAAACTGAATATGAGAGAAGGAAATGGTGTCGTAAAACCGATGATATGAAAATGAGAGAGAGAGAGAGAGAGAGAGAGAGCGCGTGAGAGAGAGCGTGAGAGAGAGCGTGAGAGAAAGAAAAAAAGAAAGAGAGAGCGTGAAAGAGAGAGAGAGAGAGAGAGAGAGAGAGAGAGAGAATAACAAAATAGATACAATTTAAAAAATTACATGCAAGGCGTTTGCGAAGTGACCTTTCGAACGTGTATGTGTGTAGTGTGTATGTGCACGCGCGCGCGCGTGTGTATGTGACGTGACATGAAGAAAGGATGCACGAAGGTAAAAATGTATAAACAAAATTTTAAATTAAAAATTAATAATACGTTGTTGATCGTCATCGTCATTGTCGTGTATACTTAATCTATTATAACAATTTTACCTATTTACT